TTTGGGTAAATTCCAAGGAGTGGGATGGCTGGGATGAATGGTAGGGTTATATTCAGGTTTCTGAGGAATCTCCAGACTGACTTCCATAGTGGGCATAATCAGTTTGCACTCTCACCAACAGTGGGTTAGTGCCCCTTTTGCCCCCACATCCTCACCAGCATCTCTTGGTGGTGGATTTCTGAATGTGAGCCATTCTCACCGGGGTGAGGTGAAACCTCATTGTGGTTTTGATTTGCATTTCCCTGATGGCTAGTGATCATGAACATTTTTTCATGTGCCTGTTGGCCATTTGGATTTCCTCCCTTTGCAAAATGTCTATTGAAGGTCCTTGGCCCATCTCCTAGTGGGTTGCTTGTTTTGTTTGTGTGGAGTTTCTTGATCTCTTTGTAGATTGCTGGTTATCAACCCTTAGCTGTTGCATAGTTTGCAAATATTTTTTCCCATTCTGTCGGTTGCCTCTTCACTCTCCTGACTGTTTCTTTTGCAGTACAGAAACTTCTCAACTTGATGCAATCCCACATGTTAATTTTGGCTTTGACTGCCTGTGCCTCCGGGTCTTTCCAGAAATTCTTTGCCTTGCCATATCTTGCAGGGTTTCTCCAATGTTCTCTCAATATTTGATGGTGTCAGGTTGTCGATTTAGGACTTTAATCCATGTTGAGTGGATTTTGTGTATGGTGTAAGGTAGGGGTCGTTTCTTCATGCTTCTGCACGTGGAAATCCAGTTCTCCCAGCACCATTTATTGAATAGACTGTCCTTCTTCTCCAGGAAATGGTTTTAGATCCTTGATCAAATATAAGTTGGCTGTAGATGTTTGGGTTGATTTCTGGTGTTTCAATTCTGTTCCATTGGTCTATCCATCTTTTTCTGTACCAGTACCATGCTTTTTTGATTACAACTGCCCTGTAGTATGTCCTGAAATCTGGTATTGTGATGCCTCCGGCTTTGTTTTTGTTGTACAAGATTGCTTTAGCCATTCGAGGTCTCCTGCATCTCCATATGATTTCAGTATCATTTTTTCCAGATCTGAGAAGAATGTCTTTGGTATCTTGATTGGGATTGCATTGAATCTATAAATTGCTTTTGGGAGAATGGACATTTAATGATGTTGATTTTCCAGTCCATGGCTATGGAAGATTTTTCCATTTTTGGTACCCTCTTCTATTTCTTTCTTTAAGATTTTGTAATTCTCATCGTAGAGATCTTTAACGTCCTTGGTTAAGTTTATTCCAAGGTATTTGATTGTTTTTGTAGCTATTGTGAATGGGATTCATCTCAGAATTTCTTTCTCAACTGTGCATTGCCTGTGTATACAAAGGCTGTTGATTTTTGTGCATTGATTTTATATCCTGCTACTTTGCCAAACTCCTTGTATGAGTTCCAATAGTCTCTTAGTAGAGTTCTTTGGATCCTCTAAGTAAGAATCATATCATCTTCAAGAGGGATAGTTTGACTTCTTCCTTCCCAATTTGTATCCCTTTAATTTCTTTTTCTTGCCTGATGGCTCTGTCTAAAACATCTAGAACTATGTTGAATAGCAGTGGTGAGAGTGGGCATCCCTGTCTGGTACCAGATCTCAGTGGCATGGACCAACTTATTTTAAAAAATGAAACCTGTGATTTTCAGTTTCTGCCTACATTGATAGAATGTTATACAAGAAAAGCATCTTGTTAATTTGTGTGGCAACAAATTTGCTGTGTTTCCAGTGCACATTGTTATTGGCAAAGCTGATGATCAAAAAATAGTAAGAATCACTAGAAGGACATTCAGCCTAGTGATTAAGATGCTCATTAAGAGACCCACACATCGGGACCGGTGCTGTGGTGCAGCAGGTTAAAGCCCTGGCCTGATGGGCCAGCATCCCATATGGGTACCGGTTCTAGTCCAGGCTGCTCCTCTTTTGATCCAGTTCTCTGCTATGGCCTGGGATAGCAGTAGAAGATGGCCCAAGTTCGTGGGCCCCTGCACCCACATAGGAGACCCAGAAGAAGCTCCTGGCCCCTGGCTTTGGATTGGCACAGCTCTGGCCATGGCAGCCATCTGGGGAGTGAACCAGTGGATGGAAGACCTCTCTCTCTGTCTCTCTCTCTCTGTGACTCTGTCTTTCAAATAAATACAACGCATATTTACAAAAAAAAGAAACCTACCTCATTGTACCTAGGTTCAGTTCTTCCTGTCTTTAGCTCCTGATTCCAGCTTCCTGCTAATGCAGACTCTAGAAGGCACCAGTGATGGCTCAAGTAAGTCAATTCCTGCTAGCCACAGCCACATGGGAATCCTTCGTTGCATTTCCAGCTCCCAGATTCAGTCCCTACCTTGTTCATCCCAGTTGGTTGCAAGAATTTTGGGAATGAACCAAAAAATGGGAGTACCATCTGTGTCTCAGCCTCTCCAGAAATTTAAAGACTTTGAAGATGTATTCATTATTGAAAGGCAGAGTGACAGAGAGGGAGACACAGAGAGATCTTCCATCCACTGGTTCACTTCCTAGAAGGCCACAGCAGCCATGTGTGGAACTCCATCATGATTTCCCACATGTGGTACAAGGACCCACGCACTTGGGTGCCTTCAGCCTTTGCAGGCACATTAGGAGGAAGGCAGATATGCAGTGGAGGAGCCAGGACTCAAAGCATTACTCCAGCATGAGATGCCAGTGTCATTGTTGACAGCCTAAACCATAGTGCCATGATGCTGTCACCACAAAATAAATAACGTTAAAAATCTTTTAAATGCATAATGAGAACACTGGAGTTGCCCCAGTGGTGGGGGAAGACAGGGAGCCCGCCAGCCAAGGACATGTTACAGGCTGGCACATGGACATGTTACAGGCTGAACCTACTAGGTCCCTGCTGTCTGGCAGGGGGCACTGTGGAGTAAAGTATGCTCAAATGATTGAGTACAGTCAGGCTTTGGTGGTACCAGGCAAGGCTGATGTTTTTGCACCTGGCAAGCAGCAGAATTTGGCCCAAATGCTTGCCCCATTTCCACTATGTGGGAGACCCAGCTGGAATTCCTAACTCAAGGCTTTGGCTTGGCCCAACCATGATGGTTGAAGTCATTTGCTGAATGAACCAGTAGATGGAAAATCTCTCTCTCTGTTTCTGGCCTTCCAGAGAAATAAGCCTTTTTTTTAAAAGGTCCCTCCTTCCAATGCCATTGCACTGGGGGCTAAGTTTCCAGCACAGGTATTTTGGGAGGACATTTGAGCCACAGCATTCTTTCACGGAATCAGCCAGCGGTGCAGACAGGTGAGGGCTTTACAACCTTCCTGCAAGACAGCTCTAGTGGGTGGGCCAGAGAGTGGGGCCAGGAGGAAAGACTCTGTTCTGTCCCACAAGGACCACAGGCAGGGCATGGCAGCTGAGAGGCCCCCATCCTGTAATTGGTTAAGGAGAAGCAGCCACTCTTTTCAGCCAGGAGAGAATCCTGGGCTCCCATCCCTTCAGTTCAGCCACAGGCTTCCTGCTCAGGTGTCAGTCCTTGTGGACACCAGTGTGTTGGGCTCCACAGCCCCCTGGCCCACATGATGGAAACTTTCCAATAGGATTAGTCCTTCCCTGGTAGCTGTCACACAGTCCAATGCTTTCTGACACAGGATCTGCAGAGCAGACACATGAGCACAAGAGACAGGGAGGCTTTTGTATTGAACACTGCCATCTAATTTCAATGTTCAGACAGCTGGAGGCCACAAGACGAGGGGTTCTCCTGAGTAAGAGGTGTGCCACAGGTTGGAGGGCGGAGGAGAGGATCAGACAGACGGGAGGGTCTCCAGATGAAGAGACTAAGGAATCAGGTCTGGAGGCCAGAGAAAGGCAGGAAGCAGGTTGGCAAGGGGGTCCTGCATCCATGGCCATGTGTCCCTCGTCAGACACTGCCTGGGCGGTAGGACAGCAGCAGCTATGAGGGTCCACATCCCTAGGGCTTAGATAATCTGGTCCAGAGGTGCAGGGAAAGGCAGGAATGCAGGCAAAATGGTCCCCCGGAGACAGCTGTAAGCCCCAAGAGGAGAGGCTGGCATGGAAAGAAATACCCATGGGCTTTTTAAAAAAGATTTTTCTTTCTATTTATTTATTTGAGAGGGACAGACAAAGAGAAAAGTCTTCCATCTTCTGGTTCACTGCCCTGATGGCTGCAATGGCCAATGCTGAGCCCATTTAAAGCCAGGAGCCAGGAGCTTCTTCTAGGTCTCTCATGTGGGTGTAAGGGCCCAAGGTCTTGTGCCACCTTCTACTGCTTTTCCAGGCCATAGCAGAGAGCTGGACTGGAAGAGGAGCATCTGGTACTGAAACTGGCACCCATATAGGATGCTGGCACTGCAGATGGAGGATTAATCTACTGCGCTACAGCACCTGCCCCAATATCCACGGGTGGTTCTTCTGCACCCTGGGCAGTGGCCCTGCTGGTGTCTCCTGTTTCCTCTTCTGTGTCCTCTGCTTTCCTTGTTGCTGGACACTGGAAGGGCAGCAGTCAAATGAATAATTCCTACAGCTGGCACAGGGTTAAAGGAGGAGGCCGTGTGCTGCTCTGCTCTGGGTGGCCATTGCTTCACCCCCAACATACTCTTGATGCTCCACAGCCCTGTTGCTTCTCCCTGTCATGGTCTTTCCTGGTGACCCTGTTACTTGTCTTGGTGGGGACTTAGTGGTTGCACTTTGCTGGAAGTGTTCACTGAGCTGCAGGGATGGTGGTGAGTTTGTTCTGCCAGTGAGGCCTGCGCAGAGGTCATGAGCACCTGAATCAAAGGCCGCACCTCAGGGTGGCACAGTGAACTCAGGGTGGTGATCAGAGAGACCTGCACCCCTGCAGAAAGATCCTGGGGCCCTTCCCTTATGTCCTACCCATCAGTCCAGTACCACAGACAGGTGCTGACCCTGACCTGACAGAGGAACTTGGCAGGCTGAGTGAATGGGATCAAAGCAGCTGAGCTCTCTGGTCAAGGGCAGAAGTGAGGACAGAGTTTGCATGGGGAACTCCCTTAGGGATGTGGAGTCACATGGGTGCTTGGATAGACAGCTAAACTCTCACCCTTCACCTTTGGCTGGGAACTCTGCCAAAACCTAAGTGAACAATCCTGGGGATCTTCTGGACAAAAGCTATAGGACTGTATTGTGAGTGAGGGCTGATTCCCTTGAGGTCCCAGAGATGGCCTGGTCATATCCTGGAGGGGTAGGCAGTGTCCATGACCCCTCCCCCATTCTAGACCTTGTGCCAACCATGATTAGATGTGAACCCAAGTCCAGCCCTCACTCTGAGACCCAGAGGCTTGTGGATATCACTGAAGCAGCTGAGCAGCAGCCCTGCAGGCCCCCATCCAAGTTGATGCCTCCTCACTGCTCCTCACCAAGTTCTGTTGCCTGTCACATGGGCAGTTGGTTTGGAATGTCCTGGCTTCTGACTGTTGGGAACTGAGCAGTGTACTGGTCACTCCAGGTGGTCCCTGACCACAGCGATGCCTCAATGCAGAGTGGTAGGTTGAGCCATGTGCCAGTGGTGGGATGGACACTGTGTGGACCCCCTGATTCTTCAGCGGGGCTGCATGTCAGGGAAGTATTTGCATTTTGGTCAGGGATTGAAATATTGAGCCATGAGGTTAGTTGGGATTTGGGGTCATGTACATCTTCAAGGACATCAGCTGTGTCTTGCAACCCCCCAGGAGATTTTTGGAAAGTGTGGGAGGACAGTCCTTGGTTCCATGGCCAGGGTAGCATCTGTGGTCTCAGGGTTCAGGGATCTCCATGCTTAGGGAATCCAGCTGTACATTCACCTTAAGATTCACGAATCATCAGTGAAGTAAATCTGGGGAAGTCATTTAATCTCATTTATTTCAGTGCCTTGAAACCATCAGAAGACACAGCCGCTATTCTGCCTACACTACATCTCAAGACCATAGGTTTTGTTCGTGAGCTGTGAAGAATCAGTCCCATGCCAGTGTGGAAGAGAAAGCCCTATTTTCTGATTTGTCACCTGTGAGGACCCTCCTCTGAGGACACTAGCACTCAGGTCTCCTTAACTCTACTGGATACTTGGGAAGTGAATACTTATGTCAATGGCTCTTATGACATAGCAGCCAATTTTTTCAGGCTTTGAATTAACTTATTTTTAACCTCACAGTCATCCTAATACACAGGCCCTTCAACATTTCCACATGTGAAAGTGGGCCACTTCCACTTTTGTTGCTGCTGTGAATACTGCCACTATGAACATTTGCTTCAGATTGTTACATGAAGGAAAGATTTTTTTTCCTGCTTAGATATCCCTGAGCAGAATATCTGGACCACACAGCAGCCCTGTGTTTAACTTTCTGAGAAAGTGTCACACTTCTGGGGGGATTAGCTGAAGCAGTGTTTGAAGTTCCCAATTTTGCGACCTCACTGGCAGCACTTTTCTGAACAATTTGCAGGCATCCTAGTGTTGATCTCTCAGGTCCTTTATACATAGTGTTTCACTCTTGTGAGTCTCTCTTTGGCCTTCAGCTTATTATGATATGAAATTATAATGCCAGGGTACATTGAACTTCCTGGTTATTTTTTAATTGCATAGACAGAATCAAAGAGATGTCCTCTGCTGGTTCACTTCTAAAATGCTTGCTACAACTACAGGAGCCAAAGCTGGGAACTGAGAACTTGATCCACGTCTTCCATGTGGCTGGAAAGCACCCAACTTCTTGAGCCATCACCACTGTCTCCCAGGATGCACATGGGCGGGAACTAGAGACAGAGGTAGGGGATCAAATGCAAGAATTCCTATGTGGGACATAGATGTCCTAAGCATTAGCTTAATGACTAGGGCTAATACCCAACATTTGCATATTGTGGTTGCAGGTTTTAAAAACACTGGGGGAAGCTTAGGATATAATTTATGTAGTCTTGCCATCCTATTCTCTCTATCATCTCTCAGTGGGACTCAGTGACTATGTGGTATTCTTAGTAGTGTTCCACAGGTCTCTGGAACTCTATTTATTTGCTAACTATTCATTAGACTGGGTCATCTGAAGGGACTAATCCACAAGTTCACTGATGCTTTTGCCTCCTCAAAGGCCTATTATAGGTAGAGTTATGTCCTCTATGTTCAAGTCCTAGCCCTCAGGGTATGTGTATGCATTTTTTTTTGGAAAAAAAAAGGTATTCACAGGTAGAATCAGTGAAGATACATCATCCTGTATTAGAGTGGGTCCTGATCTAAATGCCATTGTCCTTCCATTGGCAGAGAAATGTGGCCTCTTAGACAAGGAAGGAAGAAGGCTGTTCTGGGATGACCCAGGCAGAGAGTGGAAGCATGCACTGCAAAGCAAGCAAGCCAAGGACTGCAGCAACTGCCAGAAGCTAGGAAGAGACCATGAAGGGTCCTAGCCTGGAGCATGCAGATAGAGCAGAGGGCAGGAGGCTCCTGACCTCAGGCTCTGCCCTCCAGAACCATGGTCCAGCTTCCAGTTTTAATGCCACACAGATTGCAATAAAGAGGTATGGTGACTAGAAAACTAATACTGGCCCCTCTGGTGAGCCTTTCAATTGTTCTGATTTTGAATTCCAGAACTCTGTTTGCATACTTTCCTGAATTTCTTTGAGTATATTGTAAAAGCTGAGTGCCCAGGAACTAGTGAGATCCATGTCTGTACTTCCTCAGAGATAGTGTCAACTGGCTGCTTTTTTCCCTTGATTTTCTGCTTATGTTGGGAGATCCTGATCCTGTACACTCCCAGGGTCAGTGATTCCTTTGGAGGCCCCCCTGGGCTCACAACAAGGTGGCACAACATGAGTGAGATGTCTGCCAGACAAGCTCATAAGAGCCTGATTGCTCAAGGTGTTCATTGGTGCCATCTTCCCAGCACATGGGTAGATTCTAGTACCCCAGGAGGAACTGGATGTTTGGCTTTAGTCATTATGTGTGTGAGAAGTCCAGCACCGTGAGCCTCTCTCATCAGAGAAGGGCGCACCTGTGCATTTCTGGATTCCCAGGAGTGTGTCAGAACTTCCCTCATGACCCAGCTCTCCTGTAATGCTGTTGGGTTAGTCTGTCTTTTATCTAAGGGAAGTTGTCAGCCACTTCACGTATCAACAAAGTTAAATGTTGCCTTGATAGTTTTGACATTTGGGCTTGGGACCATTGTACTTACCACCATGGGCAAGCTCATGGTCAAAGCAAACTCTGGCTTGTTTTGACAGACTTAATTGTGTACTGGAAAATAACGTTGTCCAGGACAATAATTTGGGGTAATTTTGGATGTTTTAATGTTGCTTGCAGAGTTCTCGCTATAAATGAGAGTCAATAGAGCACTTTGAGTAGGGGAGTGGCAAGAACCAATTTGAGTTTGAAAAAGAGTTCTCTGCTTACTAGTGTGAAAACTCCTTGATGGCCAGAGAGTTCAAGTGAGGAAGATACTGAAGTGTGTGTTTGGAGGTGCTAGAGGGCTGTGGCCTCCCTCAGACAATGACAGGGGACATGGATCCCATGTAAAGATGCCATGGTCCCAGGCTAACTTGGAATGCAGAGGCTGAAGTTACTGGGGGTGAGAGCAGCAGTGGGGCCTAAGGGTGCAGTGAAGGACCTAAGCAGCTGTGTCCTGTGCAAGGCCTTCAGCAGTAACAAGGAGGTGGAGAGTTAGATGGAGCTGGGAGGGGCAGGAGAGGGGTCCCTGGCCCAGGGGGCTGCGACATGGCCTCTCCCACTCTGCCTTTCTCCAGTGCCTTCCATGACCAATGCAGATGTCTTGATCTCAGTCTTCAGATCATGACTGGTTGGTACTGAACAGTACAGGTGTCTCATGGACAGTTCCTCAGAAGGCATGGAGATGAGGGAAAAGGCTGTGCACTGCTGAGTTCCTGGTTGACTCAGCCTCACACCCAGTGCCTTTTTTGTTTCAAAAGCAGAGCTAGGGAGAGAGGTGTGAGACTGGAACAGCTTGCACTGGGACAGGCTGAAGCCAGGAGCCTAGGCCTCTGAGTCTTCCACCTGGGAGGCAGAAGCCCCAGTCGTTGAGCCATCTTCTGCTGCCTTCCCAGGTTTGTTAGCAGGAGTTGTATTATAATTGGAGCAGCCTGGATGCAACCCAGTGGAAGCTCCTATCACAAGGAGCAGCTTAACCCATGGCACCAGAACTCCACATACCTACTTCAGCACCTCAGCGGTTTGGATTTCCTAGGGGTTTTGGTTCCCTGGCTCAGGTAGTTGCTGAGTCCCATTCTTAGCTGTGTTACCTGGACTGGACCACAAGCGTGGGTGTTCTGAGATGCACAGGTGAAGGTGAGAAGTGCCAGGTTGGCAATCAGGGATTTGAGAGTTAGATTGAATCTCCTGGTTGAGGGCTGATGAAACCATAGCGGGCCTGTTAAGGTCCTGTGATAATTTGGCCATCGACCAATATTCCAGGGCAGGAGGCAGGAGCATGTCCCTGACATTGGCATGTGAGCCTATTTGGTCAATGGTAACCCTCCATGGTTGGAATGATTAGAGGGGAAAAACTGCACTTTATATAATGTGAATGGGTACTACTTGGAGTTCATTGAAGCTTTTGCCTTGCTTTAATTTGATATGAGTGACAGAGAAAGAGATGGAGGCACAGAGCTCCCATCTACTGCTTCATCCCCGAATGACACCTAAATGCCTGCTGTGGACAGGGAACACAAGTGAGGGCCTGGGAACTCAATCCAGATTTCCTCTGGGGTGGCAGGACCCCAGCTACTTGGGCCATCACTGCTGCTTTCCAGGGTTGCATAGGCAGGAAGCTGGCATAAGTATTCAGAGCAGGGGTTAAATCCAGACTTGACCACTAAGCCATTCACATAACCCTGGCTCCATATTTGCTGAGTAATGCAGAATATATGACATTACACATTTTCCTTCTGAAAACTGTCATGGTCAGAATCCTCCCAAAAGGAGGAGGAGATGAGAAGCTCAGGGGTGGTGGTTTGTTTCTTAAAAAATGTACACAAAAACACATGCACAGAAAAAGAGAGACAGAGAGAGAGAGAGAGAGAGAGAGAGAGAGAGAGAAATATGAAGAACTTCTGACTGCTGCTTCACTTCCCAAATACAGAGGTGGGGCTGGGCCTGACTGAAGCCAGAAACTCCATCCTGTGCTCTCACATGAGTGTCAGGAACCCAAGCACTGGGGTCATCACTGGGGCCCCCTAGGATACAAGTGTGCAGGAAGCTGGATCAGAAGCAACAGTGGGACTCTGTCTCAGGAACTCCATATGGAATGGGGGTGTCCCAAGCAGATGGCAAACCAGTTCTGCCTCAACAGGTACTTCAGATGCGACTTGGGTTTGATGAGATTGACATCCTGAGGAGTCCATGCCAGCTATTTAGGGATGCACCTGTACTGGCATGTATGTGGGAATAGGTATTTCCTAGAGATTTCCAGGTGATGCAGCTCAGTTGGGGGTTTGATTTGTGTGAGAGAGAGCAAGAAGGAGGAAGATAGCATTCGAGGTGGTAGCAACAGGGTTTTGCCTGGTGTGTGGGACGTGGGCCATAGGAAGGAAGATCTGTGTCTGGCTATCTCCTTCTCTTTGTGCTGCTCTCTCTACAAGTAAAATGAAAATAAGTCTTTAAAATCTTCATTAGCTCTTATTTTAGAAAAGATAGCCCTGTTCCTGGAGCTTTAACCTCTGAAGTGTGTCAACACTGTGCCCCCAGGAATTGCCCTATTACAGTCTGTGTTTCCTACCTACGTTTGAGCTCCAGCATAGGGCTGTGCTCAGTTAAGCTGGGATTCTCTGCCTCTGCCAATCAAGGCAATTTCTGGAGGTGTGTTTTGCCAGTGACCTCACTTTTCTGTGGGATACAAGATGAGTTGGTGAATTCAGGTGTTAAGTTTTGTCTTGTGGTGTGGTTGGGAGTGACTTTTGATACACTTTTACATCTTTTAGCTCACATGTACAATCAATCCTTCTTTAAAAAATGGGACTGTAACTTAGCTTGTTTCTCATGAAAATAGTCTCTTCCCTTCCCCTTTCCAGATCAGAATGGAAGAGATGGAGTGAGGACTTCCCCCCATGTTGGCAATCAGATCACCCAGGAATAAGTGACATCCTAGAATTACTGTTGTCCTTGGTTATTGTGGAGTGATGTGTTTTCTTCCTCTATTCTTCCTAGCCTGTGAGTGTTGATGCTGGGTGCATGCTCTCTGCTTGAGATGTCAGTGTAGGAGATTTCCCTAAAAGATAAAGTGTGCATGTGTGGAGTGTAGATTGCTGGTGTGTGCAAGGTGTGATCCAGCCGACCACAGCTCAGAGAGGAAGTGAGAAGTGGCTGCTGCCACAGCAAGGTTGAAACTTCCTGTCTCTTCCTGTCCTGAGCTAACTAGATCTTGGGCCCCATTCCTAAAGTTCAGCCACAGATTTTCTTTTTTTTCTTAAAGATTTTATTTACATGAATGCCTGATTCCACAGGGAGAAAGGAGAGGCAGAGAGATAGAGATAGAGATAGAGATAGAGATAGAGATAGAGATAGAGAGCGAGAGAGCGAGAGAGAGAAGTCATATATTTGCTGGTTCACTCTCCAATTGGCCGGAATGGCCAGTGCTGCATTGATCCAAAGTCAGGAGCCAGGAGCTTCTTCCCACTCTCCCACATGGGTGCAGGGGCCTATGGACTTGGGCCATCTTTTACTGCTTTCCCAGGCCATAGCAGAGAGCTGGATCAGATGTGGAGCAGCTGGGCTTCAACCTGGCCCATAAGCTTGCCAGCACTGCAGGCCATGGCTTCACCCACTACACCACAGTGCCAGCACCTCAGCCACAGCTTTTCTGCTCAGGAGGCAGTCATTATGGCCATTGACTCACTCTGGTCTCCAGCCCTTGTTACTTGCACCATAGGAACATTTTCCCCTAGGATCTGACCTCCTGTCAGCACTCACACAAGCCAGCATTTCTCCCACTGGACCTAGAGAGCACAGACACGAAAGAAAAAGAAAGAATATGGTGTTTAATATTAAATAAGTGAATGTTATCTTGTGGGGAGCCAGTTGGAGGCCATGAAAGGAGCTGGCCAGGGGCAGAGTTGTGCTTGTCCTGGAGGGGAGGGAGGAAGGGTCACGCGGGAGGATCTATATCCATAGGTGCTGAGAAACTGGGTATGAAGATGCAAGGAAAGGTGGGAAGAACAGTCACAAAACTGCCCCTGGGAACAGCAGGAGGGAGACAGAGGGCAGGAGGTGCAGTTGACATTTCTGTTGTCCGTGATGGAACAGAGCAGGGTGAAGTGTCCATGGCATCCTTCTGTGGGGAGCATAGGGACTTGACTGTCCCTATTCTGGGCTCATAGAGTGGTGATTTTTGCTTTTCTCATGCCCCGTGGAGGAGTGTATGGGGGTGTGGTGTCCCTGGCCACCTCCAGTGCAGGAGCACAGTGTAGTACGGAGTCCAGAGCTTCCTTCCATGGGGAAGCATATGGGGTGTGGCGTCCATTGGCACCTCATGTGGGAGAGCATAGGGTGGTGTGGTGTCCATGGGCTCCTC